GGCCGTCCGCCGCCCGCCGTCCGCACGGCCTGGGAGCAACACCGCGGGGCCTCCGGGGGCGCACAGCTGGCTCCCGCCGCCGAACAAAGGCCGGCCACCCCACGGCGGGGTGGAGGGGCGACACCGACCCTGCGTGGAGGCGGGTGGGAGAGGCGAGAGGCGGCCAGCAAGGATTAGCTAACCCTGAGGGGTTAGAGGAAGCAGTAGAGGGGCTGGCTCTGCAGCCAGACAGGCGGTCAGCAGGATGTAAGACAGATGGAGAGATGGGTGCATGGATGGACCAGTGGATGGAGTCTCAGACTCACAGAGTGGGAGGGGAGGAGGGATGGATAGACATTCCAGCAGTCTGTAAGATGAATGAATGAATGAATGGGTGGGAAGGCAAATGGAAACACAGTTGGATGTAACAGGTGATGAGTGGAACCGCTGGCCAAATGGATAGACAGTCGAATGCCCAGAAGTGCCAGAAGATAGGGCCAGACAGACAGAAAAAGCAGAGAATGCAAACTCAATCACCAGTTGGTAGCAGGTCAAGTTTTCATTGACAGAAAAAGGAGAGAATGCAAACTCAATCACCAGTTGGTAGCAGGTCAAGTTTTCATTCTCTAAGGTGAGGTTTGGTTTGGTTTTGGTTATGTGCCGTGGAGTCAGTTCTGACTCACAGCGACTCCTGTACAGGGTTTCTGAGGCTGTAAATCTTTACACGAGCAGAAAGCCTCATCTTTCTCCTGCGGAACAGCTGATAGTTTCGAACTGCTGACCTTACGGCTCACAGCCTGATTCGTAACCACTGCCTAAACTCACCTGATTTGAAAGAAGTAGACTTCCCATCCCATCCTCTTTAGGGTCACTATACGCCCACAGTGAGGGGCTGAAGCCTAGCTCAAAGTGTTAATGATGTTAAGTGCTACCAAGAGAATTCTGACTCATAGCGACCCTGTATAGGGTATCCAAGGAGTGGCTGGTCCTTGAGCAGCCGACTTTGTGGTTAGCAGTCCAGTGCATACCTAACAGTGCCACACCAGGACTCAAAGTATAGTCAATCCCAAAAGAGGGTTCCCAGAGTCAGCCAAAGTTCTCCAGGCCTGCCCAAAGCTCTGCCAAGAAAGAGGAGGAAAATGGCAGGGTGCCCTCTGCAACACAGAGCCTTCTGGCCCTCTGAACACGTGGGAGGTCCCTCTGACCCTAAGATTCCAGACACCAAAGTAGAATAAGCCATCACAGCACAGCATGGCCCCACTCTAGCATGACCCGCTCCTTTTCAAAAGGAAAACACAAGGCATGAGGATCTATGAGCACCCATCTCCCACATGTAACTAGCACATACATAGACAACCTCTTTAAACCAGAAATTCTGGAGAGTCCCTTTCTGGTTTGTAACAGCTGAGTATGTAGAGTTCTGATTCCTGGTAGATTTTCTACCTGGTTGATTTGCAAATTCAGTGGGACTAGAAGAGGGACTTCACAACAAAATAGGGTCAGGGGCTTCATGGGTGTGGTAATAGTCTACCATGAATTCCAAGAGAGGTTGTTGTTGTTAAGTGCCATCAAGTCAGTTCTTACTCACAGCAACCCTGTATAGGGGTTTCCGAGGAGCAGCTGGTGAGTCTGAACAACTGACCTCGTGGTTCAAGCTGACATTGCAACCTAGTGTTAACGTGCCCGCCCTAAAAGATACTCAAGTTCAGATAAAATGACAACAGTGAAAACAAGAACCCTGCTTCTGACAGAATTTCAACATAACATATGATACTGGAAGCAGTGATCGATTTTATAAGGTTCCTCTCTGGTTTTTACTAACTGGTGTTCTGATATGCTGGTACTAAGAGTCTTTATGTAGTTATTGTTTAGTTTCTACTGTTTTTCAAGAAAAGGCATATAGTTACTACTTCTTGTTGTTGTTAAGGGCCATTGAGTCGATTTGCACTTATAGCGAGCGACACTGTATAGCGTTTCCAAGGATCAGCTGGTGAGCTTGAACCATTGACCTTGCAGTTCAAAATGACTCTGCAGTTTGATGCATTAGCCCACAGTGCCACACCACTTACTAACTCATTTACTCTTCATAACAATCTAAGGAAGAAGGGACTATGAATAACCCATGAGGAATGGAGAAGTTTAATAGCTTCCCCAGTCTCACCCAGCTACGAAGTTCACACAGCTAGGGATTTGAATCAGGAGCTCAGAGTCTGAAGTTTTCAACACAGACTGCCTCTCTGTGAACAGGTTTACATGGTAAAAATAAGACAAGACTTCCACACCATACCAACCTTCCAGAGTCCCAGTGTGCTGCTGTGGGCTAATGCATCAGACTGCAAAGTGGTTTGAACTGCAAGGTGGGTGGTGCAAACTCAGCAGCTGCTCCTTGGAAACCCTATACACGGTTACTATGGGTCAGAATCAACTCAATGGCACTTAACAACAACAACAATCTTCCTGCCCAGAAAAAACACTGTTTATAGTTTTCTTCTGGGAAAAGTGAGTATGCATCTGTAAGTACATATCTAAAAATACTACGTACAATGTATATATATTCAGGTAAATCTGTATTTATAGAGCGTAGTGGTTACGAATCGGGCTGCAAACCGCAAGGTCAGCAGTTCGAAACTACCAGCTGTTCCACGGGAGAAAGATGAGGCTTTCTGCTCCCGTGAAGATTTACAGCCTCGGAAACCCAGTACAGGGTCGCTATGAGTCAGAACCAACTCCACGGCACACAACAACAAAAATGGAGGCATTTTATACCATTGTTGTACTACCATATTTGTTGTTGTTGTTAAGTGCTGTTGAGTTGATTCTGACCCATAGTAACCGTGTCTGTTTTAGCTAACTTTATATCTTGAAGATCATTTTCATATCAAAACATAGAGATTAACTTCACTTTAAGGACTGCAGAGGAATCCACTGTGAAGAATTAATAGAATTTAATTCAATAGTCCTCAATAGTCATGTGGTTCTGGTCTCCTACTCACCATCGAGTCGATTCAGACTCATAGTGACCCCGCATAGGGTGTCTAAGGCTGTAAATCTTCATGGGAGCTACAAGCCTCATCTTTCTCCCAAAGAGCGGCTGGTGGGTTTGAGCTGTCAGCCTTGAGGTTAGCAGTCCAGTGCTTATCCTATAGCACTAGACTAGGACTTCTTCTAGCCAAACTTTTATTTTAAAGTCTTTGTGGTTTTTTTAATGTTTTATTGTGAATTATGTGATCGTTTACATGGGAGAACATTAATTTTACAGTCATCCTATCGTATATCATTTCATTGTCATGGTTATAATCCCCTCCAAGCATCATCAACCAACCAAAGGGTATACACTATAAACCTGCCCCTGTCCCCCCTCCCCCTGGTCGTCAGCACACAACCCCTCTCCCTCTCTGTGTCTAAAGTTCCCAGTTGATCCATCTCTCCATGTCATCATCTCTGCCTCCATCTCTGGCTTCACTGCTTCTCTGGGTAGGGTCCCGCTCTCCACTTTTCTCACTTGATGGTCCCAGGGACTTCCGCTCCTAGACTGCAAAGTCAATCACTCCCCTCCTTTTGCTACAAAAAGTCTACCTTTACATTTCCAACCCTCACAATCAGTCCTGATAACAATTATTCACTATTGTATCACAAGAGACCTATTTGCATTTCCTTTCATCAGCCCCGCCTAGACAGATTAGATACTCTTCAGTGGAGATTCTGCCTTCCTCTATGTCCTCTGGATCTAGGTTCCCTCTTGAAAGCTTGTAAGCCAGTCACTTCTTGCCTTTGTAGCCCCCGCCCCCCATTTTGGGTAGTCAATGTCTAAGTTGCCCATCCCTGTCTACTCTGTGTATGGAGGGGGTGGGAGTGATCCTTGCTGTAAGGATTTGTTCCCTCTTTTGAGCTACTGCATCCATAGGTGTAGGTCAAGATCATCAAACTGTATCAGATTACTCTTTTTTTCACCTCTTCTTTCTTCTTCTAGTTGAGCTCTGATCACCCAGTAATTGAAGCCAGGTCAAGTAGGTATTATCTGCAAGTGTGGGTGTTCTTGTGCATATGCCCTCTCTTCTTATTAGCTGGACGCTTCACTCTCCACTCTAGTCCTCTGTGGCTGTGTCACTGACTCTGGGCCCAAGCGTCCCCAGGTCTTGCCACTCTGCTGGCCAACTAGATCTCCACTGGGGTTCACAGGAGTCTATTGAACATTGTAGGGCTTAGCTTGCAGCTTCATTGCTGTTTTTCCCTCACTTCCCTTTAACGGTGACGAACGTGGTCATCAATCAGAGCGTGTATTCCCATTGCGTCTTCATCTTGGAATGGGGTTTGCTCTGAGCGGACCCGGCCACTTGCGTTGCTGTCTCCTGGGCGAGCAACTTGCTTGTTCTTGTAGTAATCAGTTGGTCTGCCTATATTGTTTTGTATTTGTCCTGTCGGTCTTTCTTTCAAGAAGTATCTTTTGTTCTTCTAGTCACTCCAGGCTGGTCTGCCTGTCCTTTTAAGTAGAAATTTACCACCTCTGAAGATTCTGGATGCTGTTCAGGATTTCATTTATGGTCTTATGTAATGCAGAGGCTCTGCAGGAAGCCTCCTTCATTGGGCACATTGTAGCCCCATTTTAGGTATTCCAATCAGTTATAGGCAGAAGATGGACTTACAAGCTTTCTATGGTGACATTTCTGGCTATTCCTTTCTCTCCCCCTCAAGTGTCTATTTTTATAGTGGTATGCCAGGGAAACCAAGATTCAAAAGACTGCCAAGCATCGTAACAGTAATTTCCCCCCTTTTCCCCATTCCAACCATATCTTAATCCCTGTATCCCAGAGACCTGTAGTTCCAAGGTTGTGCAAACATTATTTACCTCTGTCCCACTTAACCCATGCAAATCTGCCTAACTGTTCTCCCATCTGCTTTATTCTTCCATTCCCCTCCCCCTTTTCATATATTGCACCCCTCCCCAGCACCCAAACTATCCTGTGTCTATTCCCTGCCCTGTGCTCCACCTTCCACTCCCTCCCATATGTACAAGAACCACCCCCCACATCCCAGAAACCAGCAAAGAATCGCTCCCAATAAGCATTTTTAAATATTCCTTACCTCATCTATAAATGCTTATTAAAAAAAAGTAACCCAGAGGGAATAAAAGCAATACTGTTGAATGATGATGCACGGAGGTGATTGTAATCATTGCAATGAAATCATGAGTGTAAAACCGATGTCTGTCCCATGTAAACTATCACTTAATTCACAATAAAAACTTAAAAAAGAAAAAAAAGCTAATTTCAGAATAAACTTACAGAAATAAGTTTAATGTTGGCTACATTAAAAAAAAATAATATGCCAAATTGTTCTGTAGAGTGATCACATGAATTTACATACAATTTATTTATAGAACCATAAAGTCAGTGGTTCAAACTCACCAGCCATTCCTTGGAAACCCTGTGTAGGGTCACTGTGAGTCGGAACTGACTCAATAGTACTTCACAACAAGATCTTTTATCTTCATAAAGTCCTTCAGGATTTGGGGTGGTTGTTAAGCATCATCAGGTCAGTTCTGACTCACAGTGACCCTACTTAGGGTTTCTGAGAAGCAGTTGGTAGGGGAAGGCGTTTGCTTTCTAATGTTCATGTAGACGGTTGCCATGTTTAGCTTCTTGCTTATGTCTTTTAGCAACACCCTCAGCAAGAAAAGACAATTTAAAATTTTAATCTGCAGTTTCTGCAAAAGACAGTGTTCCACATGACAAATTCCTTTCAGAATTTAGAACTAGAAACAGTCTGATATTTTTCCTTTATTGAATAACACCTCCCTCTCTTTTTGCTTGGGCTTCCAGAATGCTCAAAATTGCATTCAATGCTGAATCACAGTATT